CAAACAACCCCAATGTTCATACACGTACAATTGAATACTATATGGCCATAAAAAGTAATGAAGCACTCACATGCTACAATGCAGGTGAACCTTGAAAACATGCTCAGTGAAAGAAGCCAGATGTAAAAGACCACATATTATATAATTTCATTTGGATGAAATGTCCAGAATAGGCAAATCCATAGAGACAGAAAGTAGATTAGTGGTTGCCTAGGACTGGGGTTGGGAATCAGGGAATGGGGAGCAACTATTAATGAGTATGGGGTTTCTTTTTGGGATGATGAAAATATTCTGGAATTAAATAGCTGTACAACTCTGTGAATATACTAGAAACTACTGATCTAGGGACGCCTGAGTGGCTCAGTTAAGTGTGTGACTCTTGGTCCTTGCTCAGGTCCTGATCTCACGGTTTGTGAGCAAGCAGAGGAGGTGCAGAGAAAGAGGAAGACACAGAATCCAAAGAGGAAGACACAGAATCCAAAGCAGGCTGCAGGCTCTGAGCTGTCAGCACAGAGCCTGACATGGGTCTTGAACCCACAAACCGCAAAATCATGATCCAAAGTTGGATGCTTAACAGACTGAGCCACCTTGGTACCCTGATCTGTACCTTTAAAAAGATTAATTTTGTGGTTTATGAATTATATCTCATTAAAGCTGTTATTAAAAAAAAAAAAAGCAGTATCAAGAGGGAAAAAATGACAGTAAGAGCTAAGCTAGGGCACTGGGTGCTAGTCCTCTGACGTCTCTGGTCCAAAGCAGCCATGCAACATCAGCACCAACGATTGAGTGCTGGGCAGAGTGTGCAGTCTTCAGCTGTCTGAGCCAAGGTAGCTCAGTGCAGTGCTGTGGAAGGTGCACTGGCCAGAATCATAGAGATCTGCATCATAGTCCCTGCCCCGCTCCTAACTCTGAAGGAGTTTAGCAAGTCAATTCCTCTTACTGATCCTTGATTTCTCTATCTGCAAAATGTAAGGAGTCTTTCAGCATTAAGCAATTTGGGCCTATGAGAATAGCCTCCATTCCCCCAGGAATGGAGCACAGCCCAGAAAAGCGTTGGTTGTAGTGAGGATGGAGGCGGTGTTCAGGGTTCACCATGCTGGGTCACGCGGGGCAAAGAGAGCAGGTTAATAGCAGTGGGGGGGAGGGCTGTGTACTGGAGGACTTGCATGGCATTGGAGTAGGGAGAAGCCAGGGCAAAGTTCCCTTTTTACTTCTCAGAGGAGCCACAGGACTATAAATCTCTGTCTCCAGAGAATACGTACAGTACGTTTGTTTTGGGTTTCTTTGGAGATGGAGACCTTGGCCAGCAGGTGGAGCTGCAGGAAGGCAGGAGGGGGCCCTTTCTTGTGGCCAGGACTAACAATAGAGCAGGCCACCTTGGGAGGAATAAGAGTGTCTTGTGGCTGGGGATCTCCAAGCAGAAACCCAGCAAGAACTCCTGGATTCCAGTCCAATTGCTACATCCCTGGGGAGAGTTGGGGAGAGGTAAGGCTGTGTCTGAGCAGGGAAGAAACAATTATCCTTGTGCTTAGATTTGGCTTTGTGATTAGGGTTGGAGTAGAATGTTGTTACCAGATTGGAAATCAGTGAGCTGGTTAGTTTTACAAGATGTGAGGCTTTGATCTCAGGTATCGTTCCTACAAGAGCAGAGGTATATGTCAGGTTAGGGTTCTAGGAGAGTAGGAGGTGGGGAGGAAGGGGAGAAGACATTTATCAAGTGCCTACTCCGCACAAACACTTGACCTACATTATTTATTTACTTAAAAATTTTTTATGTTTATTTATTTTTGAGGCAGAGAGAGAGAGCGTGAGCAGGGGAGGGGCAGAGAGAGAGAGGGAGACACAGAATCTGAAGCAGGCTCCAGGCTCTGAGCTGTCACCACAGAGCCCAATGTGGGGCTTGAACTCAGAACCATGATATCACGACATGAGCTGAAGTCAGACACTTAACTGACTGAGCCACCTAAGTGCCCTGTCGTATGTTATTTATCCATCACAACTCCTCTGTAAGGTAGAAATTATCATCTCCGTTTTATAGACAAGGAAACAGAATCCCAGAGAGGTTAAGTAACCTGCCTAAGTTCACACACTTTTAGGTCAGGATTTAAACCTAAATCCTTTTCGGGGCTCCTGGGTGGCTCGGTTAAGCGGCCGACTTTGGCTCAGGTCATGATCTCGTGGTCCGTGAGTTCGAGCCCTGCGTCGGGCTCTGTGTTGACAGCTCAGAGCCTGGAGCCTGTTTTGGATTCTGTGTCTGTCTCTCTCTGACCCTCCCCCGTTCATGCTCTGTTTCTCTCTGTCTCAAAAATAAATAAACATTAAAAAAAAAATTTTAAACCTAAGTCCTTTTGTTTACAAAATCCATGTTCTTTCAGTGTCCCAAGAAGTGCATCTTGTGAACAGGGGCCATTGTTACCAGAGTGGTGGTACCTGGCATTCCTAATGCCCAGTGGTCCCAGCTCCTCATCCAGGTGGTGCTTGCTGGGTTTCTCAGGTAATATGGAGACAGAGTCAGAGAGTGGCACTGGGGCCATAGCTCTTTGCCAGGTGGGGAAACCAAGGCATGCTGGCTCATGTGTGTGCCTGGGAAGAGGCTGGAAGTGCCCACTGGTTAAGAGTTAGGTTTAGGTTGGAGAAGGAGAAAGGGCACAAGGCCCAGGGTTTGGTTCTAGATCTGCCACCTACTGATATATGCAGGTGTCCTCAGGTCAAGTATTTTCTCTCTGGGCCTCATTTTCTCAGCTGTAAAATGAGGTAAGTGGATAGCTCAAACACTTCAAGCTGTGTTCCTTACAGGACTTAGGAGTTCTGTGTAGAAAACCCAGGGGTTTTTAAAGGGAGGGCGTATTTCTCCTGTTATGCATTTCATGAGGATGTTCTCACCCTTTATTGAGTGTGTACTCTGTGGCAAGCATTGGCTGAGAACTCTGTATCCATTTCTCCTTCAACCCTCTCAGCAACTCAGGTAATTTTAAAATTCCCATTCAGCAAGAGTAAGTGACTTTAGCCAGGGTCACATAGATGGTAAGTGACTAAGCAAAGATGCAAACCCAAGTCTGTCCTATGTTCTTAACCATCACATTGCTGCCTTTGAAAGAACAGTATGAAAACAGCATAGCTTTGTTTGTTTTGACATTTAAAAAAATCATTTTTTATAACTTACATGCAATAAAATTCATTGATTTTAAGTGTACAATTAAATGAGTTTTGACAAAAATATAGTTTCATAAACACTACCACAATCATGATATAGAACATTTCCATCACCCTAGAAAATTCTCTGGTGCCCCTTGGTAGTTAATCTCTTCTCATCCCTGTCCCTCAGTACATACTGATCAGCTTTCTGTCACTATAGTTTTGCCATTTCTAGAATTCCTAGAAGTGAAATCATACAATATGTGGTCTTGTGTGTCTAGCTTCTGTCACTTAGCTTAATGCTTTTGAACTTCATTCATATTGGTGTGTGTGTCAGTACTTCATTTCTTTTTACTGGTGAGTAGTCATCCATTATATGGCCATACCACAGCTATTTACCTATTAACCTATTGATTTGGGACTTCCAGATTTTTGACTATTATGCATGCAGTTGTTCTTCATATGGAAGTACAAGTCTTTGTGTGGACATATAGTTTTATTTCTCTTATATAGGACTGGAATTGCTGGGTCAAATGAGGTATTTGTTCTCTAATGTGTGTAACAAGTTATCACAAACTTAATGGCTTAACACCACACTGTTTATCACCTCACAGTTTTTTATATCAGAAGTCTGAGTGGGTTTGAGCAAGTTCTTTGCTTAGAGTTCACAAGGCTGAAATCAAGGTGTTGGCCAGACTGGGTGCTTATCTCGGGAATCTGGGAAGAAATCCACTTCTTCTGCAGGGGCCTCTTCTAGCTCTTTGCCCACATTCTTTCTCACTGGGCCCCTCTATCTTCAAAGCAGCAATGCGTGCTGAGTCCTTCTCACATCTCCAGGCTCTCTGGTTCTTCTGCCACCAGCCCAAGAAAATGATTTTTCAAGGCCCCAACAATCTCATTTTGCCCTATAATGTAACATAATCACAGGAATAACATCTGGGAGCAAAGGTCATGGGACCATCTTAAAATTCCGCCTAGCACATATGGTAAGTACATATTTACTTTATAAGAAACCATCAAATTGTTTTCCAAAATGGTTGCATCATTTACTTTCCCACCAGAACTATATGAGAGTTCTAGTTGCTCTACATTCTAACCCACATGGTATCGTCAGTCTTTTTAATTTTAGCTGTTGGTGGGTGTGTAGTGGTAGTTTTCATTTGCATTTCCCTAATGACTGATGACAATGAGATATTTTGGCATGCTTATTAGAGCATAAAATTTTGTTTGATGAAAGGTTCTGCTTTAAAAAAAGGTTGAAACTTACTGGCTTAGATAAACTGTGAGGTTCTTACAGAGTCTGTAATCTATGAATCTCTTAATGGGGCCCAGGGCTTATCTCCTTTTCTTTTTTTTTTTTTTTTTTTTTTTTTTTTTTATTTTTTTTTTAAATTTTTTTTTTCAACGTTTATTTATTTTTGCGACAGAGAGAGACAGAGCATGAACGGGGGAGGGGCAGAGAGAGAGGGAGACACAGAATCGGAAACAGGCTCCAGGCTCTGAGCCATCAGCCCAGAGCCTGACGCGGGGCTCGAACTCGCGGACCACGAGATCGTGACCTGGCTGAAGTCGGACGCTTAACCGACTGCGCCACCCAGGCGCCCCTATCTCCTTTTCTGAAACAGCCTCTTGAATGTAGGTAGAACATAGGTGAATCATCAGTATAAGCACTGTGCTCTGCTCTGTGTGTGTGTTAGACATGAAACCAACGAACATTCCTTGATTATCTACAGGGCTACAATCCCATATCTGAAATTCTGAAATCCAAATTATTCTGAAAACCAGATTTTTTTTCTTGATTGACACCAAAACTCATTGGTAGCAAAACCTGACATTAACTTCTGTGGGGTTTTGTTTGTTTGCAGAAGGACCCTCTGTTGTCCTATGCCTGTGTTGCCTGCCTGGAAGCCTTGCTTGATTACCTGCATGCCCGGAGCCCAGACATCGGTAGAAACCCTCCCTATTTTCTGATGTTCTCATAGGGGCAGCCAGCCCCTGCCACCCTCCTGTCCCAGACTTCCAACCTCTGTTCTTTGACTCACACTCATTTTGTTTAATTCTTTTCATAATACTACAAGGGCATTGCCATGCCCATTATACAGATGAGGACATTGTAGTTCAGAGAGATCCAGGAACCTGCCCAACCAAGGTCAAAAGCTCTTAAATGGCAGAACTCTTCCTATGCCTGCTTCCCACAATAGTGGGATATGTGGTTTCCCTGGGCCAGGTAGCATAGGTGGATAGAAGCCCAGGGAAGAAAGAAACTTCCTGCGTTCAGGTCAGTTTGTCCAATGCCCTGCCTCTAGCTGGGCAACCCCTGTTTGAGCCAATCCGAGAAAGTCCTCTTCAGCAATGCTCCATGGTCTATGGAAAAGTAGCAGTAACAGCCTAGAGTGACTGGTGTTTCCTGTAGCATTCCATGTGGTCTCCCAGCCCTGGAATCGGTTTTTGCTGTTTACCCTCCTGGATGCTGGAGAGAGTTCCTTCCTCAGACCTGAGATCTTGAGGCTCATGACCCTGGTAAGTACTTAATGGATGGTCTTGTGGTCTGAAGAATGTGATGAGCTGGGTGGTCCTGAGGAGACCAGGTAGAGGGGTAGAAGGTAGAGGGGCTGGGTGGGTCTTCACCCTACAAGAAGCCTGCTCAGAGAATTCCTCTAAACACCCACATCTTCTCACCCCAAAAGACCCAGATACTCCTAATTTATTTGCATATGAATCATGAATCATTGGCTGGGGCCTACCTGCCGTACCCAGATCCTATGCTAGGGACCAAAGGTGTTACTGAGCCAAATGCTCTGCCCTTTAAGGGTCTGTCAGTCTTGAGAAGGAGATAGACAGGAAACTAATAGTTAAAACATGATGTTATTAGTGGCAGAGTAGAAGATATGCTAAGAACCTAGCTTGTGGTAAGTGCCCACTGAATAAACAACAAAGCAGTGAGCCTGTGAATGATAGTAAAGCGGATCAATGAATAAATCAGTGGTTGGTGTGGGAACACAGAGAAGAGTACAGTTGACCCTTGAATAATGTGGGGGTTATGTTGGTCCCTGAGCAGTTGGAAATCCGAATATAACTTTTGACTCCCCCAAAACTACCTACTAATAGCCCACTGTTGACTAGAAGCCTTACTGATAACATAAACAGTCAGTAAACACATATTTTGTATGTTATATGTACTGAATACTGTATTCTTACAATAAGCTAGAAAAAGAAAATGCTATTAAGAAAATCATAAGTACAGTACAGTATTTATCGAAAATAATCTGTGTAGGGGCGCCTGGGTGGCGCAGTCGGTTAAGCGTCGGACTTCAGCCAGGTCACGATCTCGCGGTCTGTGAGTTCGAGCCCCGCGTCGGGCTCTGGGCTGATGGCTCAGAGCCTGGAGCCTGTTTCCGATTCTGTGTCTCCCTCTCTCTCTGCCCCTCCCCCGTTCATGCTCTCTCTCTGTCCCAAAAATAAACGTTTAAAAAAAAAAAAAGAAAAAAAGAAAATCTGTGTATAAGTGGACCCATGCATTTCACTCTCGTGTGGTGTAAGGGTCCACTGTAACTATTTCTGCCAGAGCTGGGAGGGAGAGGTGAGTAAGAGTGTAGTAAGCACTCAATTAATGCCTGTATTTCTTTAATAAAATGAAAGAACATTCAGCAGGAAGGTAACATTTTAGCTGAGGCTTGAAGGATTATTAGGCAAAGAGGAGGAAAAGTATTCCAAGTAGTGAAGTGAAAATAGCAGGGGTACGAGCACCTGGCAGTGTGTTTGGGTAACCACCATAGTCCATTTTGACCATGAGCGTGAGGTACAAGGCCAAGGGGTGAGGGGAAGGGTACTGAAGAGGTCAGCAGGACCAACTCTCTCAGGGTTTCATACTCTGCCTCATTTATTCCACTTCTCCTGGACCCACCAACTCTGGGCTCCTGAAGGCAGGGTTCTGTGGGCTTCAGATCTGTGCCCCCAGCCCACTGCCAATCACAGCAGGGACACAGGAAATGTCTGTGAATGAAGGAGATACCAAATCACTGTGTGTTTGCGGCTTCTCTCCCTGGCCTAGTTTGTGCGGTTCCAGAGCAGCAGTGTCCTTTCTCGTGAGGAGGTGGGTCATGTTCTGCAAGGCGCAGCTTTGGCTGACCTCTCTACCCTGTCGAATACCACACTCCAGGCTCTGCGTGGCTTCTTCCTGCAGGTGGGTTGGAAGGGGATGCCACGGAGCCTCTGTAAGGCTAGACCCTCCACGCCATCTTCTTTGTGGAGGATGAGCCCTCCGGCCACAGCAGCTAGAGGGAGGTCAGGAGTACAGAGGGTGGAGGGTAGAGAGGATCTGATGGAGTAGGCACTGAGAAGGCCTGTCTCCCCTGCCCTCTTCTTGCTCCAGGTCCAGAGCATGGGCCTCCTGGCTGATGAGAGCACGGCCCAGACCTTGCACGTCTCCTTGGAGGGCCTCTCCCCTAGCACCTCCTCAGCCGAGCCGCCCCTGGACATGCTGTATCCTTTCCTGAATCTGGGAGCTTGGCCTGGGCAAGGTCATCCAGGCTATGGGAGGCTGTGGCATCATGCTTCAGAGGGGTGCACTGTCTACAGCCCTGTACTTTAAAGCATGTGGGTCAGTGAGAATAATTAATAGTGATAGCAACGACAATGACGTACTCTGTTCTAAGTTCCCACCAAGGGCCAGGCACATTACATGTATTGTGTCTAATCCCCACAGAAGCCAGGGATGTTAATATAGCTATAACTTAGACCAGAGAGGTTAAATGACATGCCCAGGATCACACAGTAATAGCATCAGGATTTGACCCCTGTTTATCTCCAAAGCCGTATCGCCAAACTCAGGAAGGAGCTAGTCCTTCCCCAAAAGCTTTGGAGAAAGTTGCCCAAACCCAGATACGGGTGCTTCCCTCAGCCCAACATGGGGGGTGCTGTGTGACTGACATGTCCCCGAGAAAGCCTGGGGCTGTGGGCAGTAACTAGAGGCCCTTTGGGGGTGGTTGTGGTGCTCCAGAGACACTTCAGTCTGTGTGTTGTTTGGTGGTACTTCCTCCCCACCCCCACTGGCTACCTCCTTGGCTTTCTTCTTTCTCCTCCTTTTTCTCTCTCCTCTTTTCTCCTCTTTCCCTTGTGCATGGAATGTTCCCTGTTGAATAGCAACTACCTACCCAGGTGTTTGGGTCCCAGTTTTAGAATCCAGCCCACTATTCTTAAGAGCTCTTCTGTTCTTGTGTGACTGTTTTTGCCCTTTTTGGGCTCTAGAAGTGTGGTTCTCCCACGGTTGGCTCCACCTTTCTGCTGTTCTCCTCTCATGTTTTGCTGCCAGTTGCCTGGGAGGGGTGGCTGTATCCCTGTCCCACATCAGAGACTGATCCTCATGACTCGAAGGCCCAGAAACGGAGAGAACTGTGACCTGGAGAAGAAAAAGTCAGGGCAGAATTGTTGGAGAAATGGATGACAATTGTAGCCGTTCACTCTATTGTTGAAGTGGAATCAGGAAATAAAATGATACACTCACATGTCTCTGTGGGCTCTCCAAAAAACACTTCACTCTGTTTACCTTGGCTCCCTGGAGCTGATAACTCTGCCAGTAGGATAGTGGATTGCTTCGGTAAGGAATGGATGGCCTCCTCAGGGACAGTGGGTGGGATTTGTTCTGCTCACATGTAAGGAGCACCAGCTGGATGCCTCAGCTGTACCCAGAAAATGCCACTCGCAGGTCATCCACGGGGCTAGAAGTGCAGAGAAAGTCCATGTTTGGTACCGGTGTGATCCAAGTGCTCCAAGAGGCAGCCTCACCTCACATGGAGCTGGAGAGAGGTACAATTTTCAGGCAAGGACGCTGAGCAGGTGAAATTCTTCTCTGCCTTGCTAGCTCGGTGGAACTGTTCCAGCTCAGCCCTTCCCTGGCTAAAGGAGGTCCCTTGCTTCTTTCTGTGGGCCCTTCCCAGAGCTTGTATCTTTATCCCCACGTGTGCGGTTCTTTTAATGTCTGCTCTCCACCGTTGTGCCTGCTTCCTGTTCCCAGCTCAGCCCACCGTGCCTCTTGCCTGCCGTCCCCAATCCGGGTGCCCGTAAGTGGACAGCCCATCCTTACTCCTTGGGTTTGGCTGTATGGACCCTGCACAAAACTGATATGAACTCTGCCCTAATGAACTGCACTGTAGGTTTCTTCTTCTTTTTTTTTTTTAATAAAGTTTATTTATTTTAGTAATCTCCACACCCAAAGAGGGGCTTGAACTCACAACCCTGGTATCAGAAGTCCCATGCTCCTCCCCTACTGAGCCAGCCAGGTGCCCCTACAGGCTTAAAAAAACAAAACAAAACAAAACACTGTTAGTCCGTGACCCACCAAACTGATCCTGCCAACTATGATTTAAAAAACACTGTCAGCTTATGAAAAGTTTCGGTCAGGGCGCCTGGAAGGTCACGCGGACGGCAGGGGTCAGGGCCTCAGTCCGCTGACGCGCCCTGTAAGTCAGGCACAGACCCCACACAGACTTAACTTCCTTCAATCTGACCGTGACAGAACGCCGAACGATCGCGCCCCGGCACAAGCTTGGCGGGACCGGACTCCAACTAACCGCGCTGAGGACCCGCGCGGGAGCCCGGCGGGGCGGGGCCGGAAGTGAAGTCAACGGAGCGGTTGTCGCGGCCCGCGCTCATTGGCCGGGAGCGGCGCGGTGGGCGGGGCGGCGCGCGGTGATCCTTGAGCGGCTGCTAGCGCCAAGTGTGGGGTTTCGCGTCTTCGGTGTTCACCCCGCGGACCCTGGAGCCGGGCTGCACGCCGACGTCCTATCCGCACTTCCCTTCCCGCACCTCCCGGCCTGGTAGGTGGGGGCAGGGGTCCCGCGCAGGCAGGCTCCAGGTGGCGAGGGCAGGGCGTGGGGTAGGTGGGGACCAAGGGCCCCCAAACCGGTTGCTGGGGAGATTCGCGGCCCCGAATGCGTCTCGTTGGAAGGACTCGTTCTCTCCTCCGGGAGCCCCACAAGGCTCGGGGCAGCAAGCCGGGTCCGCGAGCCCGCGTAGCGGTCTCAAAGCCCGCCACCGCCACGCCATCCTTGCAGAATGTGTTCAGAGTCGCATACCCAACCTGGAAGAGGTCTGGGAATGCACGGTGCGAGGAGCAGGATTGAGAGGCTGGGTAAGTGGGAGTAACAGTGGAAAAAAGCAGGATCCGCCCCCACGCATTCTGCTTTCTCGGTTTTCCTTTCCCACTTCTCTCCGGCTTCAGTCATTACCGGCTGTCTGATACCCTGGCCCCAAGTTCTGCCCTAGCCCGGGTCTGGTTCCCTTGAGTCTAGAGCGTGGCGTTGGAAGGCAGGTCCTGGGTGAAGTTGGACTACTCCTTCCCATTCTTTAGGCTTCAGGTGTCCGGTCTTCGTAGGGTGGGGGCGGTTCTCTGAATGACCTCTGCCAGCTCAATAACTGAGCATCTGTCCCCTGGAGCAGGCATCCTGATAAACCAGTGGCATCTTTGAGGTAGCCTATGCTCATTTAGACTCTTGGTTTAGCCTGGGAATAGCTGAGTGACTTTGGGCAGTCATCTGGCTTTTCTGTGCCTTGGTTTCCACATTGGTAAAACTGATCAACTGTCATCAGAGTGTGAGGCCTCCTCTGACCACTGTGTTTAATATCTCACCCCACCAACTCCCTCATCCTTCTGTGCTTGTTTTACAAGTTTATCGATTTTCTGTTTCCCCTACTAGGGACATAAGTACCATGAAATGCAGTAATTTTTGTGTGCCGTAGGCACTGCTGTATTCCCAGGTCTAACACAGTGCCTCGAACGTCGTACTCAAAAAATAATTAAGGAATGGTGCCTGAATAGAAATAGGTGTTACTTGTGGTGCCTGTGGTTCCAAAGTGAATGAATGGCAGCCTGCTTATCCAAGATTGTGCTGCCTCCATTCCTGCCTGCATCCCTTCTTCTGTTCTTTTTTTTTTTTTTTTTTTTTTTTTTTTTTTTTTTTTTTTTTAGGTTTTATTTTTAAGTAATCTCTACTCCCAATGTGGGGGGTCAAACGTAAACCTTGAGATCAAGGGTCGCATGCTCCACTGACTGAGCCAACCAGGTTCCCCAGCACCACCACCCCCCCCCTTGCCTTCTTTTGTTCTAACGACAGAAGTCAGAGAAGGAGGGGAAACTCAGAAGTTTCACATCCCCCCTGACTGCCTGGACTTCCTTAACCAGATAACCTTCTTGGGGTCCAGGATGAGGGGTGCTGAAAGGGAATGATACTGGCCAGCCCCCACTTTCCCCAGGCGTGATGCCTTACCCAGTCCTTTTTCCCTAGAGCAAGGAGGTGACTTCCTTATCTCTTTTACAGGTGAGAAAGCTGACGTTCCAGAGGCTAAGCTATTTGCCCCAGGGCCCACAGACAGAGGCAGAGCCAGGGCTCCAGCCCAGAGCTCTAGACACCAACCCCTGTGCTCTAAGCATTCCTTTATTGCCAGTATTATCTTTTCTCCTACCTCCTACCATCCCACAGTGTTTATTGTGTGTCTGGTTGGTCACTGGCCCTGGGCTGGGGATGGGGCTCCGGGGCTTCCCAAAGCTGGGTTCTTGGTATTTGGAGGCTATATCAAGTTGGGAAGTTGCTGTTCACCTGCACTCTGCACTCTTTATTTTATATAACCAAGCTCTGGATCTCACCTCCTCTCTCTGGGTTACTTTCCTAGCTCTAGGATCTTGGATATGGACCTTCTTCAGTTCCTGGCCTTCGTCTTTGTCATGCTATTATCTGGGACAGGAGTTACAGGCACCCTGAGGACCTCCCTGGACCCAAGCCTAGAGATCTGTATCCTTTGGGGTTGGAGGTGGGGTTAATGAGCTGTTTCTGAGGGGTCTGTAAATAAAGTCTGTACCCACACCCCCTTGGATTCCAGAGATGGAGCAGACTCAGCCTATGGGAATAGGGGAGAAAAGGTGAGGTGCTCTAATCAAGCCTTGATCAAGTCAATTTTCTTCTGGTCCTCAGTTTTTCCACATGTTAAATGGAGAAGGCAAAACATACTTCTCAGAGCCATCAGGGCTCTGAGGATTGTACATGTGCTTTGCATCTTGTGGGTGAGACCCTGGGTGGAGACCCAGGGTGGAGGCCCTGGCATACAGGGGCTACCTACTCTGCGCCAGACCTTGGGGACACAAGAAGAATCAGGACCAGTCATCCCTGGTTTTGAGGAATTCACAGGCCTCTCACTATACTTTGTGGTTAGCCCTTTAATGAAACATGGTGGGGGAAGAGGGGCAGGGAGAAATACTGCGCTGTGGCTTTTGAACTGGGTCATGAAAGAATAGAAATTCATGGAGAAGAGCGGGGGGGCATCCCAGGCAAAGTGTACAGCGGGAGCAGAGGAGTGGAGGTTCTGGGAATAGTGAATGGTTGCAGTGGATGATGGGAAGATCATGAGGAGGGGAGGTTAGGAGCCAGGTCCTGAGGGTTGTGTTCAGGGCATTGGATGTAGACTCCTCAGTGAAATGGACAAATGATACCTTGCAGGATGCCTCTGCTTCTCAGTTTGTTTCTTCTGTGGGGGTGGGGGCAGGGGGAGTGTCAGCCATGGGCATCTATGGCCCTTGCAGATACTTGCTGTTCGGGAATGGGCCCTCTGGATTGGGACCACTGGATTGTCCAGGCCAGCCCCTTGACTTAATGCCACCCAGACAAGAAGATGTTTGAGGTGAAGCGGCGGGAGCAGCTCTTGGCACTGAAAAACCTGGCACAGCTAAATGATGTCCACCAGCAGTATAAGATCCTTGACGTAATGCTCAAGGGGCTCTTTAAGGTGCGTGTGGGCATGGGACAGCTCACCACCAGGTCTTTGGTCTGGGCACTGACAGATGGGTAGGAGTTCCCTGAGGGGCTGGTATTTAACGAGGGGGAACTACACAGATTTGAAATAGATTTTAAATAAATAGGGCCGTCTGTGAAGGGCTCTGCAGAGCCACTCAGCCTGGGTGGGTTCCCTCAGGTGCTGGAGGACTCGCGGACAGTGCTCATTGCTGCCGATGTGCTCCCAGATGGGCCCTTCCCCCAGGACGAGAAACTGAAGGATGGTATGGTCCTCCCAGTCTTGCTCTTTCCTCCTTCCCACCACCTTGATCTTCTCTCGCTGCTCCTTTCCTCCTTTTCTCCTCACTCTTTTTCCCTCTGGAAGTATCCTCTTATGAAACCTTCCACGTGGTCCCCTTGGGTGTATGGACACTTAATTCATATTTCTCTGGGCATTTCCAGGCTTCAGAGCCAGTTTCTGGGCCCCTGACATGGATATAGTCCTTTGTACTGTACTGTGCTTGGGGCAGGGGAAACGGGGGGGAGCCTCTGCCCACAGCCCCACCTCAGGGGCCCTTGCCTTTTCTATCACCCTGACCATTCTGGTAGAGAAGGCAAGGGTTGTTCCCATTTATAGGAGAAACACAGAACAGACCTATTGAAGGGACTTGCCAGTGGGGGCAGTTAACAGCGCTCTTTTCTACTGTTTTAAAGCCTCAGTCCCCTTAAATCCTTTTTGAGACAAGGTGGGGAAAACAGATAAATAAGAGAGAACGGAATGTTTCTGTGTCCCTTCATCCCCTTTTCTAAGACTTTTTCTCCAGTGGTAATTCCCTTCCCACCCCCTGTTAACTGATTATATTCTAACGATAAAACATTAGATGATACTGTCTGAGAGAGGATGGAAATAGAACTTATATATCAAATGGTGGGCACTTTATAAATATCATCTCAAATCTCCACTATAACTCTGAGGAAGGCACCGTTGCCTTCATTTTCCAGGTAAAAGAGGACAAGTGTTTTGCCCTTGCAAACCTGTAAACCAAGCTAACTCCCGAGTTCTTTGAGGTTCAAGATTGTTCTGAGGTCCAGAGGTCCCTGCTCCACTAGTCTTAGACCCAACTTGGCATGTCTTTGGAGGAGTCTGCTTTTCTCTGTGTGGGCTGGCCAGTGCTGGTGAGGCCTGCCTGGGTCTTATCTGCAGGGGTGGCTCAAACAGGGACTTCTGGCAGGGCTGGGTATATAGTTATTTTTCATGATAGTCTAGGTTGGGGGGACCTGCCGCCCAGACACACTAAGTTAGTCTGAACTGATCTGTTGACCAGAGGAAGGATATTAGTGAGAAAGTTAGTGAAATTCAGATAAGGTCTATTGATTAGTATCAACGTTAATTTCCTTATTTAGATAATTGTACAATGCTTATGTAAGATGATAACATTAGACGAAGCCGAGTGTAGGAGTTTTATGATGCATGATGGAAGTCTAAAGTTATTTTAATATAAGAACCTCAGAAGCATTTAAAATAAATAGGGTTGGTAATTTGCGAGCCTATTGCTGAGTGACTAGCTCTGATTTGTCACGATCCCAGGCTGGGATTGAGGTCTGTTTGCACTGAGAGCGGAGCTCTGCTTAAGATTCTTCCTTCCTCCTCCTCCTCCTCCTTCTCTCTCCCTGTCTCTCCTTCTCTCTCTCTCCCTCTCACTCCCTCTCTCCCCATCCCCTCTCCCTTCTCTGCCCCTCTCCCCTGCTTGCACATGCTTTCTCTTTCTAAAACAAACAAACAAACAAACAAAAAGATATTTAAAATAAAATTGGAAGGTATTAAGAAAACCAAAACAAACCCTAATGTGTTCCCTGGTCATCCTAACAAACCTGACTCCTCACATACACTGCAGTTCTGTGTTAACACTGGGGCCTGGCTCTGGATGTTTGGAGGCCAAGTTGGGGAGGTCTGACCCAGCCAAGCTTCATGCGATACATGTCTTCATGTGTGAAATGGCACCCACCTCTCTGGTCCTTAAAACAAATGAGTTTTCTAAGCTATGAGGTATAGCCACCTGAGCCTCCGTTTCCCATCTGTAAAATGGGAACAGCAGCCACATCTCCTTCTAAAGGTGGTTTTGAGGATTCAGTGTTCTGGGGGGACATAAAGCCCTTAGCATACACTACACATGTGGTCAGCCCCTATGGATAGTGGGCACAGTTCCCTTCTCTGACTAGTAGGCTTAGTGGGCTTCCATTCTCTGAAGGGTGTCTGGGGCTGGCCAGGTGGGCAGGAGAAGGGCATCTGTCTTGGCCACTCATCAGGATCCTCTTGCCAGCTTTCTCCCAAGTAGTGGAGAACACAGCCTTCTTCGGTGACGTGGTGCTGCGCTTCCCGAGGATTGTGCACCACTACTTTGACCACAATTCCAATTGGAATCTTCTCATCCGCTGGGGCATCAGCTTCTGCAACCAGTCGGGCGTCTTTGACCAAGGGCCCCACTCGCCCATCCTTAGCCTGGTAAGGACTGGGGGCAGAGGAGGTTCAGGAGCCCTCTGCCTGGTGGTGCACCATGAACCTTGCATCTGCCTTCAGTTAGGCCTGAATGTCAGCCCTTGGTTGTGGTTTCTGTGATAAGCCTCAGGGCACCTTGAGATGCAGTCTCAAGGGGTTCTGTGCTGACCTGGGTCCCTGGGGGTCATCACCTGTTTCACGTCTGCCTAAGCCTTGGGCCTGAGTCCCACTGTGGAGGGAGTAGCCGCGGGTAAGGAGTCAGGAGAGGCAGAGGATGACTAACTTTTCCTCATCCGCAGATGGCCCAGGAGCTGGGGATCAGCGAGAAAGACTCTGACTTCCAGAACCCATTTAAAGCAGACCGCCCAGAGGTAAGCTGCTGGGGCCTATGGCCATGTTTGCTCTGCCTCTGCGGGGTCATGGGAAGCCAGGTCATACTGGGGATGGGACACCTGGGGTGGAGCATGAAAGCCTTTGACTTGGAACCAGACATGGCTTCAGTCTGGATCCACATACCATTATTTGCTCATTGGTGCCTTTGGGCAAGCCACTGCCCCTGTCTTAGCCTCAGGCTCCCTGTCTTATCATGGGGTATGGACCCCGGCTGTGGGGGATAGTCAGAGCCTATGAACACACCCATCCTGATGTACAGTAGGCATCTCACATCAGGTGGCTGCTAGGCAAGGTCAGGCCGTGCTTCTCTACCCTTGAGCCTTTGAGCACTCAGCCAGGCTTCTGTCTCACGTTCCTGCATATGCTTTCAACCTAGGGGACTGAGGTGGGCTCTGAGGGCTGAAGGCTACAGGGTAGGACCACAGATGGGGACATGCAGAGTAGAAGGGAGGAGGGAATCAGGTGGCAGGGCAGTGCATCAGGGGCAGGAAAGCCTGGAGGACTGGACTTGTCAAATCATAGGCTCTCTTCTGGTGTAGGGAGGGGTGTCAGGGTCCGTGAGGGGTCTAGGCCTGCTACTGTTTCATGGATACTGACAGGTCAGAGGCATCAGAGTTCATTATAGCAAAAGCAATATCTGGCCTGTTGGCCTGGCCGTGTGGGTTCCCTATGTTCCTCAAGTCATCCACAGTGACACAGAGGGGCCCAGGCAGATGCTGCACATGCAGTGGCTTCGCATGAAGGTGAGGAATAGCGAGTTTGGGATATTCACAGCCTTTGTAGTGAATAGCGGCAAACCTGCTTTTTGAGGGGCAGTCATCCTGTCACCCTTCCAGGTGGTTCTCTGCAAGCAGTCCTGACAAATAATACCCAGATACAGAGAGGTCAGGGCTTTGCTTTCTTGTTGTACCCAGTGAGAACGTGCAGGATGCTCAGGGCCCTGGTTGATTGCCTCCCCCACAGTTTACCTGTCAACCCTGTGTGTTTTGGCTTAACTTAAATTTCCACGTGAATGTGCTATTCAGTCTGATTGATCAGTAGAGGCCAGGACCAAATGTGTCCTAGACCAAATGTCTCATATTGCCATTTGATTCTGGCTACCATCAACAGGACTCTAAGCAGCAGGACGAGGCCAACCTGCAGTGTTGATCTCAGCCCCCCAGCTTGCAGACTCAGCCAGCTAGGATAAGTCCTGGGTGGGCCAGTAGGCTTTTGTTGTTGTTGTTGTTGTTGTTGTTGTTGAATGTTTATTTTTGAGAGAGAGGGAGAGAGAGAGAGCATGAGCAGGGGAGGGGCAGAGAGAGAGGGAGAGACAGAATCCGAAGCAGGTTCCAGGCTCTGAGCTGTCAGCACAGAGTCCGACGCGGGGCTCAAACTCACGAACCGCGAGATCATGACCTGAGCCGAAGTTGGATAAGAGTTTAGACTGACCTATTGATCTTTGATGTCATTGTCAACAATTACAGGGAGCAATAGATGGACCCAGAGCAGCCCTCATCCCCAGTGAAGACACATTTCATGGCCCACTGTCTCCCATCTGTCACGACATGGTTTGAGCCACTGTTATATTGTTTATCTGAGCCCTGAGAGCAGTGTCACTATGGGATTGCAGCCTCATTTGCCCTATGTGGCATAACCCAAGGCCACTCAGGCATCAGGAACAGCAGATGGATTTGTATCTGTCAGATTAAAACAGGTTGTATTGGCCTTTGTGCCTGCACAGGGTCACTTAGGGAGCTGCTTTTTATGGCATCAGGCACAGCAGAGTAGTTTACTACTAACCACATCCCGGTGAGTTTTCCTTTCACAGGGCTGAGATGACACACCCAACAGCCAATCACATTATCAGCTGCAACTGCCACTTGGCTTGGACAGATCCTAGGATTGTTTGCCAAGTGGCGGTGCTAGATCGAAGAGACCAAGAGGATTAATTGTTCCCTCCCCAGATGCTAAGATTATTGCTACAAAATCGGTGTGGCACATCCCAAGACCTAGATAGAATTCCACTTTTTCTCCAGTCCTCCTCTACTCTCACCTGGAGCTTTCTTTCATCCAGAAGGGTCAGATGTGAATGGGACAAGGGCATATGTCATTTTCAGAGACCCATCATACCTTCCATCTTGGGCCACTGTAGGGGGACTTGGCAGGGAGCGTACTTAGCCAAATGGTCATTATTCTAATGATTTCACATCATACCATTTCAACCAGGGACTCTAGGCAGTCAAGCCAGAAATACAGAGTCCTCTGCTTCATGCCCATCCATGGTGGCAAGTACAATGCCACATCTAGTACAATGGTGTATTTAGATGACGAAGCCAGTTAACTGGGCACTATAGGCTTGATCTGCGTTTTGATTCTGGTTGGTGTCATCAGAGAATGGGCCTTATGATGGGCATCTAAACAAGTGACCCGGACTGTTCAGCTGTCAACCATAGTTTGTTTCCATACTTCATGGCCCCAAAGAGGAATGGCTGCCTTTGATCTGCCAGTCTTCTGATATGGACAGCTAGGACGCTGACAACGGTCACTAGAAATAAGACATGCATGGTGTTAGGAATATTATCTAGGCAAGGGTGGTGGCTTTTAATTCAGATCATTGTCTGACTGGCCTTGATGGCATTATCACTGGGGCTGGATGGCTGCCACCGCCAATACACAACAGTGTCTAGGATTCCCAAAAGCACCCCTGGATTTGATGATTCGCTAGGAAGAATCACGGGAATCAGTGTACAGTTGTGCTCATGGCTGTAGTTGATTATAGCAAAAGAATGCAAAGCAAAATCAGGAAAGGGAAAAGGCTGTTGGGGTGAAGTTTGAGGGAAACCAGGCACAAACCTCCAAGAATCCTCTCCCAGTGGAAGCACCCAGGACATACTTAATTTCCACAGCAACAAGATGTGACATGTGAAAAGTTGTCCTGAAAGGAGGCCCGTTAAAGACTCAGTGCCTAGAGTTTGTATTGGGAGCTGGTCACTTAAGCTCCCTCTGCCCAGTGCATTCCATAATTCCAGAGTCCCAGGACGAAAGCAAGGGGTTCAGCATAAACTCTATTGTTTGCACAGTTTAAGCTCAGTGAGTCACTCTTATCACTTGGTGGGAGTCGTCCCAAAATCCAAGTTCCCAGACACTAGCCAAGATACAGCCCTAGAAACAGGCCTTTCAAAGGATAGCAGTCGGGCCAGCTATGTTAACTCTTTTGCACAGTACCATTAGCTCTTAATTTAGGAGAACGATCAATGAGCCAGGCCTGAGTATTTAGGGGAACTTCTGAATCAAGAGCCCCTTTGAACCAGTGGCTTTGCTTTAGGCAGCAGAATGGGAGGTAAGGGTTTCCCTACTAGGGTTGCTGTTACCTCGTCACATAACATCCCTCGAGGTTGCTTGCTATAATCACAACCCTGATAAATGGCCAGTGTAAGAATAGTCCGGGCATACCCAGCAAGAATACGGAAGGACACTCAAGGCCATGGCAAATTGCCTTTCCCCGGGAGGGGCACCCACATGCTTTATTGCTGTGAGGCTGGCTCTCCTGGCCCTGCAGGTCACGAAGGCCTCTGACATGGGAGGAGGGTGAGAGCATAGACCAGAGAGAATGGGTGCTAGGATAGATTGAGTTTGGCTTTGTCACAATGTGCTCTGCTTGGAAGTAACCATACCAGCAACATGCTTTCCTTACTTCTCATTGGCTAGGGATGGTCTCAAGATTTTACTCACTTTTTAGCATCCAGCATGGACCTGTCCCACCAGCAGCCCAGGCTTGCTCAGCTCCCTTCATGCACTCTCTGTGCTAGTACTTCTTATGTACCCATAACTAGAGCCAACTGGTGTCAGGCTGTATGCTGGCCACTGCCCCTGTCCAGAGGGAGCTGGCCCTCTCCCTGCTCACAGTCTGTTGGGGAAGGTGGCAGGGAAACAGTCCCAATCTAGCATGATCACTGCACCAGTGGAGGAGGGAAGTGTGATGAGCTGTGGAACCCTAAGAGGGGACCTGACCCTGCTTCAGCAAGTAGGTGGTGGAAGCTCTGGGATGAGTAAGAGCTGCTGGGTGGACTGGCCTGGAGAAGACCCTCTAGGCCAAGGCACTGGCTTGCACAGAGCCTCGGAGGCATAGCACATGCATTTATTTATCATTTGGTGAGCATCTACCGAATCCCAGCTGCTAGAGAAGCAGAGTAGCCCTGCTCTCCTGGGAGTGCCATTCTAGTTGGAAGATACAGTCAATAAAAAGCATACAATAATGGGAGGTGGTGACAAGGCTATGGAGAAAAAAGCAGGGGAATGTGCTTAAGTAATCAGGGATGAAGTGGGAGTACAACTGCTATTTCGTGTGACTTAGATGCAGAAGGTCTTACTGAAAAGACCTGAACAAGGTGAGAGAGTGAGTCTTGTATCTAGAGGAAGAACATTCCATGCTGAAGGAGCTGCAGTGCACAGGCCTTGAGTTGGAAGCATATTTGGAGGGGGAAGGGGAAACGTGAGAAGAAAAGGTCAGAGTAGGCCAGATCACAAGACCCTTGGGGGTCTTCTCCAGGCCTTTGACATTTACTCTGAGACACGTGGAGAACAGGGTGATAGGCTCTGACTTCCCCCTGTAGAGGATCAACCTGGTTGTTGTGTGGAGAGTAGTCTAGGGGACCAGGGTGGGAACAAAGACACTGATGAGGAGGCGGCTGTGCTGGTCCATTTGGGAGTTAATAGTGGCTTAAACCAAAATCAGGGTGACAACTTTGAGGATGGTGAGATTCTGGTTGTTTAGAAGGTAGAGCCAATAAGATTAGCTAAGGAAGCAGATGTGACATGAGAGGGATGCAGTAAGAAGGACTAGAAGACTTTTGGCTTGCACACATGGAAGAATGGGGCTGCCATTTTGTAAAATGGGCACACTGTGGTGGGACAAGTTTGAGGCTTGGATAGGGGAATCAAGACTTTGTTTCTGGACCTGGTGAGCATCTGAATGAAGATGTCAAGGAGGCGATTGGAAATAGGACTCTAGATTTCAGGTTGAAGCTGGGACTGCCAATGTGAGTCATGCCTATGAAGGAAGGTGTGGAGAGCCGTGGCACAGGTCATGTTCCACCACCCCGGGGCAGGTAGAGTGTCAGGGCAGATAGAGGGCTGCATCCGGGGACGTGCCTACTGGTAGAGGAGGGAGGATCGGAGGAACTAGCAAAGAAGCCCCAGAATGACAGTGTGAGAGTAGAAACCCAGAGAGGATAATTTCTGAGACCCTATGAGAAAAGTGCAGCAAAGGGAGTGAGCGGCTCATAGAATCTGCTGGAAGGCCAAGTAGTGTGAGGCCTGAGAACTGGCCAGTGGGTTTAGCAAGATGGACACTGGCCATCAGAGATCATAATATAAGCTGTTTGAGTGGAGCAGTGGGGACAAAGGTTGGATTTTGAGAATGAGAGGCAAGGAAGTAGACGCAGCAAAAGCAGACTACCTTCAAAGAGCTTTCTTTCCAGAAGGAACAGACCAATGGGAACATAGCTGGAGGGGGTGTGGATTCCAGGGGAAATTTTAGTCAGATGGGAGAGACTAGGCATGTTGGCATGTTGATGGGGAGAGCCCATTAGGGAGGAAGAATTGATGGTGCAGGGGCAGAAGAGTTGCTGGAGCCCCATCCTGAGGAAGGAAGGCAGGGGAGAAGATCTGGCGCCTGGGGGAAGAGTCCATCTTGTCTGGAAGAACAGGTTGCGCACAGAGGCGGCTGGGTTGGTGGGAGTGGAGGTGGGAGCTTGTGGAATTTTCTTCTGTTCTTGAAATAGCCAGGTCATGGTCTGTGGGGGAGGGGAGGAGGGTTGGGGGGCTAGAGAAGGTGTGCCTAGGAGAGCGGCTGAGGGAGCAGACCAGGAAGACTGGTCTGGATTGCCAGGCAGCAGGAAGGGCCCGCTGGAGGTTAGCATCAGGAATTTAAAGTAGGCATTAGTTAGGCCTAGTGGGGAAGGGGTCTGAGAAAGGGAGAGTCAGTGTTTCTCTTCTGACCCAGCTAGGTGTGGGCCCTCCTGGTGAGGCTAAGCCAGCTGGGGTTGGAAGGCCCAGATCTTCTGACTTGCTGTAACCCAGCCAGAGCCAGAGGGTATGGGGTCCTCTGTGACCTGGGAGGTCAGCTCCTCATCCCTCCCAAGAGGATGAGAATTAACTCCTAGCAACAGGAGGCAGAGTGTGGTAGGGGGAACACTGGTCGGGGAGGTGGGAGGCCTGGGGGCTCGTCCCAGTTGTGCCTCCCACTTGCTGTGTGACTTAAGTATATCATCTACCCTCCCTGGGTCACACTTCTCTGATTTTACCCCACCTTCCAGACTCTCATAGTTCAGCCTAACATGGCAAGTAGATTTCTGCACAAGGTAGAGCTTCTGGTTTGTTTTTAATGTCTACCTTGATCACACATTTGTCAAATTTGCCCTAAGAACAAATAAAGCAGGCATATTTCACAGCATAGTTAACATGAGTTTGGGGTACTATTATGGTATTTCATATGCTAACATGATTCACTTGTTCATTTAAAAAATACATACTGAGTGCCCTCTATAAGCCAGGCAGGTCTTGTGCTAGGGACTCGTGAACAACACAGGATCCTCCTGTCCTCACGGAGAATGTTTTCCAGTGGGGGCGACAGGCACGAAGCATGTGATCATGAGGGAGAAGCCCTGAGAAGGAAATGGAGGAGCCAGGCGGGATTCAGGGCAGGTCCCCCAGGATGGCGACAGCTGAGCAGGAGCTAATGTGGCAAAGGTGGCAGGGGCTGGAAAGATCATTCTGGGCCTTCACAGCACATGCAGAGGCCTGGGGGTGGAAGGGAACAGGGAAACTGAGAGCCCAAAACAGGGAGTGTGAGGGAGGAACACAGAGGTGGGCAGAGCGGGCCTGCAGATGGAGCATGTGGAATTTTATCCTGAGAATAATGCAGTCATAGAAGGGTTTAAGCAGGAGTGTGACATGGTCAGATTTGCATTTTGGAAAGAACTCACTGCAGTGAGGAGAAGGTCTTGAGAGGCACCACAGTGGGTGTGGAGAGCACTGGGAGGCTCCGAGTCATTGGGAGAGAGGTGGAGGTGGTGATGAGGGTAGCCATAGGGGAGACGGACAGGAGGAGATGAGTTTGAGGGACACTTAGGAGTTAAAACGAGCCAGGCCTTGGCCAAGGAGGGAGAGGGGTGGGGGTGGGGGCCTCACTGTTCACGAGGACGGGGACGTTGCAAGAGGACTGGGTTTTTGCGAAGATGGAGCCATGCCAAGTTTGGGGCACATTTGGGACATCCTAGTGGCATTTAGACATGGAGATGCAGGTATGAGGGGAAACTGACATACATACCTAACAGAAGCCGTGAGTTTAGATGAGCCAGTCTGGAGAGCGCAGAGGGAGAAGAGCAAAGGCCCTGGGAATCGCAGTCGAGAAATGCGTCCACTGAAGTCCTCCTCCTCCACCCTGGCTCATTCTGGGTTCTTGTCACCTCATCAAGCACCACCATCCCCGCACCGTGGAAGCCGTGAGCCTGGGCACCACGATCTCCTCCACCTCTTTTTCAAGGTCTGCCAGTTTGACCTCTGGCCCTCTGCTTCCCATGCACTCCTTTGCCTGGGCTTCTCTGCAGCTTGTTCACAAGCAGCAGGATGCCTGCGGTCTCTTGCTCTCACTGGTTGCCCTCTCCTCCTCAGGGGTATAGCAGCCGGGGCCCTGGAGGGGTCTGCGGTTGTCTTGGGCACTCAGTCCCCTCACCCTGAGAGAAGTCTGCTTATGGTTTCTCAAATGCCCCATGCAGGTTCACACCTTAGCACTTGTCCCTCTTCCTGGAATGTCCTTTTCTTCCCTCATTCTGTCGGCTTGGTGAGCTCCTGGTTGTTTTTCAAGACCCTCTAAGCAGTTTTCCCCAAGCTCACTGAACTATCTCGAAAGAGTCTGCGGGCTCCTTGAGGGCAGGGCCTGTGTCTAGGCGATGTTCCTGCTGCTGCAAGCCCACAGCAGCCTAGCCTCAGACAAACTCTTTGCTCCCCACAGACTAAACCAGACTGTTCTGTTTTTCTTTCAGTTCATTTCCAGCACTGACCCTTTCCAGAAGGCCCTGAGGGAGGAGGAGAAACGCAGGAAGAAAGAGGAGAAGCGGAAAGAGATGCGAAAAGGCCCCCGGATCTCGAGATCCCAGTCTGAGTTATAGCAGGAGTGGCCCAGGGCTCAAGGGGCCAGGAGGAGACCAGTCCGGAGGAAGAGGCAGAGGCATCTACTGGTGGTGAGAGCCAGCTCTGTGAAAGGGGAGGTGGCCTTTGCTCAGCCCCCTGAAGCTGGCTCTGCGCCCTAACTGAAGTGACTGGGCCACAGAGGGCTGGATTTCCTTCCTGGGGCCTTCCTGGAGTGGGTGCCAAGGAGGCCTTCAGAGGATGCCATGCTGCAGATCAAACCATGTTGAGATGCTAGGGGAGGCTGGAAGGATCCTGGACTGGACCCTCCCTTTGAGTTAGGACCACTGACCAGCCAGCTGCCACCCTTCATGAGGAGGCAGCAGAATCAGGCTCTGAGCCACTTGTGGAAGTGCCATGCCTACTGATGGCCCCACTGTGGCACTGAGCTGCTCAGCACGGGTCCCAGCCCCCTGCAGAGACACAGGAGAAGCCAGCAAGCCCTCTGGGCTAACCGAGGCCGATTTGGGCCCCTGGGAGCTGTGAGCCCTTTCAGAGGGTAGGGGCCTGGAGGTGGGGGGGGGGGGGGGGGGGTACCAGAGGTCCTCACAGATGTAGAAACTACCTTAGAGGATGTTCCCACCTCATCAGGAGGAGCCCCAGGCCCTAGCAGGGCAGCGAAGCAGGGGCTTGGCTTAGGCCTTCTCTTCCCCTTCTCAGCACCATCCTTCATGAAGAAGTGTCCCGGGAGGGTGTTTAGCCAAAGACCTTAGAGCAACATGATCTCTGTCCTCTGACATCTGGGACGGTCCATGAGCAGGTGCAGGGTAGAGTCAACTTGTCCTCCAGGCAACTCTAAGAGATCCTTGGCCTGTGGGTAGGGGCTGTTGGGAGACAGGCTGTAGCTCTACAGGAGGCTGTGCTTTGTAAAGGCAGACCTGCTGCAAGCTGGATTGATGAGACTGAGCTCCCCATAGTAGAGACCAGTGGCTGTAGAGCAGGGAAGCTGCAGGGGAATTAGGCCCTGAATGGGCAGCTACCCTGTAATAATGCCCCTCCCAGGCAGAAGAGGGAAAGGCTCTGGTGGGAATTCTACTTTAGTCTCTTTGACCTGGCCAAGCCAGGTCCCCTTAAAAGAGGAGGGACACATGACCATCCCAGAACCCCCTAGTCCCCCACCACTGACAGAGCCCAAGAGAGACCTGAGTCTTGTCTCAGCCCCTCAGACTTGCCGAGTGATCCTGGCCCAGCCTGTCCCTGTCCTGTAGCTTCACTGGCAAAATGAATTTGATAATGTCTGAACCCTCCCCAGCCCTAAACTGCTTCTCTGAGGCTGGGGCCTGGTTTCTCAGTGACAGATGCCCTTCTCTCATGGTTCTTCACCATCCCATAGGTTTGCTGAGCATCCCTGTTTACACAGCCGAAGAGAAGGACCCAGTCTTCCCTATCTTCACCTCTGTCCTATCTGGCACCCCCCATCCTCCTAGGCTCTTCCTTCTACACCTTTCGCCTCTTCATCTTGGTCGATTCCTTCCTCTTCATCCTCAAAGGGGCCCAGGTTTTCCCATCTGACACCTTCAAAGAAACAGGCAGAACCACTCTGCTCTCCCCCTCTCCTTCCCTTTGATGCCGTTGCTGATTGTTGTTACTTGTTCCTGGGATTCCCCCTCAAGTCTTACTGCAGACAGAGCCCTCTCACCTCGAGGCCCAAGGGCATGTGTTTGTCCAGCTTCCTTACAGCTAGGATTCAGTCCCAGGAGAAAGTGCCATCAACCAGATGCACCAGCCTGTGTGGGAGTTGTGCCGGTGAAGGTAGTGGCCACTGGGACCAGAGGTAGGGGGTCAGGGGGTGGGGGGTTCTAGTGGCCAGACCAACACCAAGGGTGCCCAGTGGTGGCAACAGTGATGTCTTCAGTGGTGTTTTCAGCATGGTCTAGGATGTTTTTCCTGTCTGCTGAGCTTCCTAGTTCAATCTCAGGCACCCCTGGAGAGTCTGGGAGCTAGCTCCCCTGTGTCCTCTGAGGCAGGATTTCTCAGCAGTGGCACTATTTACATTTAAGGCCAGATAGTTCTTTGTTGTGTATATGAGGATGGCTGACCTGTGTGTGTAGGATATTTAGCAGCATTCTTAGCCTCTGCCTACCAGATGCTAGTAGCAGTCTCCAGACATTACCACATGACCCCTGGGGACAAAATCTCCTTAGTCCACAGCACTTGTCCCTCCTTATCCAAGCCCTACATCTTCCTCTGCTGTCCCCAGTCACTGCCCTCAGAGAGATGCTGTTGGAAGCTCCTTGAGATGATCCTTCCAGGCTTCTGGGCTGCTATGTTGTCCTGGTTCTCTGCCTTTAGTCTCAATCTGCTTTGTCTCTTCCTGATTCCTCTTTCCTTCCCCACCCCTTAAATGAAGAGTTTTAGCTTAGTCTCTCCTCTCTGCTCTTTTCTGCTTGGCACCTTTATCCTCTGAGACCCCAAAGCTGATGACACCTTCCCTCTTGCCACTGATAATCCTCAGTCCTTAGGTTTCAGCTTATCCAAAACCAAACTTGTAATTTCCCATCCCCAAGCCAGCCTGATCTTTGTGTCAAACCATGGGGTACATGTTCTTGCGTAATGCTGGAGGAAGTGACAAATCCTGAAAGATTGGGGGAGGAGGGAGAAGGTGACAAGGCACTGTGAGCAGAGGCCTAAAAGGGGAGGCATCAAAGGTACTCAGTGAAAAAGCATGTGCAACATTCTCTTCTATGACCTGTAGTAGTTGCCCAGTCTGTGGTAGATCTCTGGATATATGGTTGTCTAGTCCCTCCCTTTCCAGATGAAGAACCCAGGTCCTGAGGAGTGACTTGTCTAAGACTGGTCCACTCTTGAGAGCCAGTCTCTGTTCTCCCAGCCAGGGCAAGGTGCCCGCTGGGAGAGATGTTCAATTAGGTGGGATCCAGGGCCATAGGGACAATGCCAGTGTTTCGCTGGGTGCAGTGCAGCCACATTTTTTCTGCAATTTCTCCTGAGCCTTCATTTGTGCTCCCTCAGGCCACTTTCTTAAGCCCCACCGCTTCTAGGCAGATCCAATAGGGAGTTGTGGGGACATTACAGAGTGGGAGGTACTGTGCCCGACCTGCTGCTTAGGTTGCCCTCTGCAGGGCGAAGCTCGGGCTTTGGGTTGGGAGACCACTGTACCAAACTGAGTTATGGTAGTCCGGAGACAGTCACCCCTCAGTGGGGGGAGCCCTGTGAGAGGTGCAGTCCAAGGTGGCACTGCCCAACTCCATGCCTGATCCAGGGCAGGTTATCAGGGTTTAGTTTTCCTGTTTCAGGGTGAGACTGGTAGGTGTAGTCTGCGTATAAACTCTTCTGCATGTAAACAATGAAGAAACATTCTTGTCCTTTTTTCCCCCAAAAATAAGTCACTTTTTTCTTATGTTATACATGTTCATTATAAGAAGTAATTTAAACAATACTGAAACACCAAGAAGAAAATAAAATTCACCCTAAGTCCAACCACTCCCATAATCATGACTGACAACTCAGCTCTTGGACCTTCCAGCCTTTTGCCCTTCATGTGAGCACATAGATCCCTATTTTTTCAATTGCAGTAGCTGCTTTGTACGGGCACATACTATATGCCAGGCCTTATGCCAAGTGCTGGCTGCTGGCAACTCCTCCTGCCTCAGGGCCTTTGTCCATATCATCTGTTCCCCTGGCTACACTAGACATGATTCCTCAAAATTTTAGGTTTCATCTTAAATGTCAGAGTCCTTTAACTGACAACCTAAGTTAGGTCCTTGGTTAGTTTCATCACCCCCTTTACTCTCTATTGATTACCTGTACCTTACCTGCTTTCTATTTTTGTTTAATGTCTGTTCTCTTCACTAGACTGGAAGCTCTCAGAGGGCAGGAACTGCCTTTTTTTGCCTGTCAGAAATGTTCAATAAATGTTGTCAAGTGAATGTGCACATGATCTCTAATCTTCAAAACTGAGAGGACACTTTTCCCTGCATTTTAGAGATGACAAAATGGGAGGCTTAGAGCAGTTAGGCCAAGGTCACACTGCATAGTGGATCCATATGTCTGCCTCCACACAGGCTACTACGCGCTCTCTTCTTTACCTCAAAAGCGACAGCTCTGTTACCATACTTTTCCTTTTTAACAATATATTGTTAGAGCATTTGTCAATAAGCATTTATGCACATGACCTTTAATGATAGTTCATTCCATTGTGTGGATGTAATTTATTCATTCAGTCCTTTATTGGGCTTCCCAATATTTGCCCCAGTACGTCTCTGAACTTCTATATTTGCGCACTTTGAGCACTCATAACTTTTATTCCATAGGATAAATTCCTACTGGTCTGCACATTTGTTTACATGGAGACCAGCTGCAAGGTGGGGCAGTGGGAACTTGTGGGCGGGCTGCACGTCAGAATCCCTGCTTCACTGCCAAAACGCTCAAGCCTGGGTCACACCTTAGGAGGCCTGTGGTGGGTCTCGGGCTCTAGCATTGCTTTAAAAGTCTGCAGGAGGTTCGGAGGGACCCAGGGTGAGACCATAGGAGTAAAGCGCTTGGTCGCGGCAGGTGCAAAGGCACAGAGGTTGTAAAATGTACTCTGCACTTGGGACAGTTCACAGCCCACGGCGAACCTCCATTTCCGCCTTTGCAAGGGGCTTGCTAGGAACGCGACTTGAATGATCGAGACTCCTCCGGGCCCCAGTGCTGGGGGCCAGGTTTGATTCTACCCGCTCTCCTAGGCAGGCTGGGCGGGGGAGCAGCTGGGAAGATGACGTAATGTGCTCACAGCGCGCTCCGGGGGCGACCCGCAAGCGGGGGCGGAGGGTGTTAACCCTTCCACCCCCAGCCGGTGGATGGACTAGCTTGCAGAGGCAGATCCAACTGAAAATGGAGCGGCGCCTTTAAACAAGGGGAGTAAGGTTGGGCTGAGGACCCGGAGCCTTCACTTCGCATTTGCTACGAGCCCTCGCGGGGCGGGGCCTCGCTATGCAAATCTAAGCTGCTGATCGATGACGCGCCATCACCCCACGCGCCG